ATGCCACATTCTCCCAGCTCTGGCCACGTTATCAGCTCTCTGAGGCACTGCTGGCCCCTGGTCTGCCTTGGGGACAGGGGCTTGTCTGGGTTCTGCCTTGGCAGTCAGGGCAGCACACACGGGTGAGCCAGGCCTCTTACGACACAGACCCAGGCGGGAGGGTCTCTGTGCTATTTCCCACAACCCAGAGAGAAATGTGTTGGAATGAAGGTGGCAACCAACTCCAGCAGGTTTCCTTCCAAACCCGGAGGGGTTAAGGAGACAGAGCCACTCCCATCCCACAGCCCCACAGAAAACATGCTCTGGAGGGAAACAGATGGGCTTGCTGGCACCACCTTCTCCTCTCTGCTGTGGGGGGCTCCTCTAATGACAGGCCTCCTGGCCCAGCCACAAGCCTTTCCCTTCCTCCCGGCTTAAAGGGTATCTCACTTGCTAACAGAAAACCATTTCTAAAACAGCCACAGGCAGGAGAGAATTCTTTGGATTTCCTCAACTAGGATTTGCGGGATTGAGGAAGGGAGGGGCCGGTGGAGGCGGTCTTGTTGAAACAAGGTGTCATGTCTGAACGGAACTTGTTTTTCAATTTACCGAATGGTGGGCCAGGGCTAGCATGGCAAGAAAGGGCTGCTGCCGTGTCAGCCCACCCGTGGGAGAGGTCTCAGGACTCTGCTTCCATTTGTCTTCTGTTGTGGATCAAAAGGACCCGGAAACCCCAAGTACAGATGACAGAAGGGCTCAGTGTCACCACACCCGGCCCTTCTCACAGCGGGTTCGCCCTTATTAGGCAGGCCTCATCAGGAAACATCTCAATCCAAACCTCACATGTTGGCCCCAGGTCTGCCCTCGGCCCCCGGCTCTTAAGCCTCTGCTGTCTTAGTAGAAGCTGCTGAAGGGGGTGAAGGGTGTTCAATCAAAATCAAGAAACAGAGCCCCTCAGTGTTTATAGCCCACGAGGGGTGCAGGGTGGGAGGGCCCATCTCCGTGTACCAACCCCATCCCTCCCCACTCCCTCCCTGGAGTAAAAGAGCCACCCCTGCCTGGATGATAAATTATGAAAGCAAATATCAAAGCAGAAGCTCTGCCTTATTACTGCCTTAGCTGTTGTAATGAATGTTTATTCCCTGCACTTGTGCCCTGGATAATTAAAAAAAGACAGAGAGAGAAAATCATCTGCAGATGAAAGGGTCTGCTGCAGAGCCCAGTCCCTTCAGCCTCCTCTCCGGCATGCTCCGGGCAAGGCAGCCCATCATTAACCGGCCACCGGGGAGACCTGGGCTTGTGCTCATGAAGAACTATTTCTCAGAAATGAGCACCATCAAAAGTTAACCAAAGCAATTCCATTTCCAGGTATATGCCCAAAAGAACTGAAAGCAGGGACTTGAACAGAAATTTGCACACCCACATTCACGGCTGCGTTAGTCCTAACAGCAAAAGGTGGAAACAGCCCAGGCATCCACTGATGGATGAATGGAGAAGCAAAACGTGGTGCACGTCCGTGCAATGGGATAATACTCATCCTCAAAAAGGTAGCAATCCTGACACAAGCCACAACATGGATGAACTTTGTGGACATCATGCTGAGTGAAATGAGCCGTCTGTCCACAAAAGGATAAATACTGCATGATTCCACTGCCAGAAGGTATCTAGAGTCATCAAAGCCATACAGACAGAGAAAATGGAGGCTGGCAGGAGCTGGGGGAGAGGGAGACGGGGAGACAGTGTTGAATGGGTAGGAAGTTTCTGATTTGGAGACCGTGAAAAAGTTCTGAAGGTAGATGGTGGTGACGGTCGCACGACAAGATGAATGTGCTTTAGGCCACTAGCTGGAACACATGAAAATGATTCCAATGGTGAATTTTACATGACATACGTATTTTACCACAATTAAAAAAAAAAAAAAAATAGAAACGTGCCAAAAGCATTTTTTTAAGTTAATGGAAATTCCAGAGTTGATGACTCTGACGGAGGGGTGGGAGCAGCCTGGCACCCTCACATGCCCGCTGAGGCCTTGTCAGAAAGCAGAACCCTGGCCCAGGGTCCCGGGGGCCTGACTGGCAAGCGTGCCCTGCATTAGAGCCTGGCTTGTAAGGAAACACGTGGGTCTCAGCTCAACATGAGGCCTCTGCTCTCTGAGCACCACCAAAGCAGTCTTGCTTCAGGACACAGCAGGGGTGAGGGGCCTGGACGAGACAGAGGGAGCTCCGTACAAACAGAGACACGTCCCAAAGCCAGTCCTGGAAAGTCTTCAACAAAATAGAGGACAGAGTACCAGAGATTTGTCCTCACAACAAGCGGGATTGTCGTGGGGGTCCCCACACCCACTGGGCCCAGGATTGGGGTCAACACTGATTTCCCTGTGGCTGCTTAGGGGAAAAGCTGGACATGGTGGTCACAGCCCTGCCAGTGACTTCCTGTGTGACCCGGGCAGTATCCCTGAGCCTCCCTGCTCTTGGGCCTCCTTCGGCCTCTGGGAAACAGGCTGTGGGGTCCCATCCCCACAAGGGGAGACTCAGTGCTGGTATCCTCCATCCAGGCCGCCATGTGCTGCCAGGCCTCCCAGCCACCACAGCCCCAGCTACTCAACCGCGAGAGCTGAGATCCCAGCGGGAATGGTACACTGGGGGTTCATCCGGCTTCCGTGTCCTTTTCCATCCACAGCCCCACCCAGTCCACCTCTGAAACCTAGAGGTCCCTCTCAGCAACGTAACCTCCACACATGCTCCAAGAGCCACCTGCAGACCCTGTCAGCCACCAGGACTGCAGCCCTCCGCTACCCCCCAGCACGCTGAGCCCCTCCCTTGGGCTTCCTGCCAGAGGCAACCCCTCCCCAGCACTCACCCCTGAGCTCCAGAGCTCATCACACCAGGCAGACACGGGTGCCTGGGGCCTGGCTCTGCACCCACCCTAGACCTCAAGACCTTGGCTGCAGCTACAGGTTCCAGGGACAGGCACGCCGTCTCCCTCTCCCACAACACAACCCACTGCTGCTGTTCCCCCCGAAAACTCAGGCCCTGGGTCACTCCCCACTGTACCCACGACAAGGTTTAAGCTTGCCCTGTCCTCGTGCCTCGCCCCCTTCCATGAACGGCATGACCGTCTGTAGCCAGGCACCGAGCACTCACGACGACCAGAGCCAAATCCCCGGCCCGCTGCAGAGAAGCAGCTGAGAGACGGTCTCTGCCATGAGCAGCTGGGCAGGAGTCCGGCCTGGGCCTGAGGCTAAGCCTCACACTCCGAACCTCGGTACTGCTCTCCCTCTGCAAAGTTCCCTTCGACCCAGATTCCACCTGACCCGGCGGCGGTCTCCTCTCCGTCAGCCGAGATCGGCAAGTGCGGTTCCCACTTCTCATTTCCCATTCCCTTCTCGGTTTGTCCTCATCCAGCGTCTACCGCAACGCTCCCCAACGCCGTTCCGTCTGGCACCGCTGGCCAGTCTCCTGCACCTGTCACCCCTTCGTCAGGACAACCTCCTCCCAGGTCCTGCCCTGTCCCCCCAGGGCTGCTGCTCTGCGGGCTGTCAGGGATCCGCTTTTTACTCACTGACACCTGTCAGCCAGGCAGTGCGGTCACCCCCTGACTTCAGCTGCCAGCTGTGGGCTGAAAAGCCTCAGCTCCTTCTTTTCCACCAAGACTTCTGTCCTGATGTCCTCGCTTGTCCAGAATGGAAACTCTTCGCTGTGGCCCCAAACTCATTGCTCATCTTTTCTCAGCCAATGGCTCTGCCACCCGCCCAGAGGCCCAGCCTGAAGCCTGGATACTGGAGCCTGGATTTCTCTCACCCCCTCTTCCATCCCTCACATCCTGCCAGTCACCAGTTCCTGCAGGCCCTTCGTCTCACCCCAGCCCCTCCTCCGTTCCCACTCCAACCCTCTTCCACACACGCTCCAGCCCCAATGCTCCACGACACTGCTTCCCATTCCAATCCACCCTGCACGCGGTTGCTGGCCTGTTCTTCCTAACATCAGCCTTGGCACATTTCCTTTCCCTTTAGGGGTCCCACTTCTCAGGGAAGAGCCCCTGACCCTCCCCCGTTATCCTGCCCTGTCCACATCTCCCACACTCTCATGGCTCCCCACTCCAGCCAGGTCAAATGACTTGGTCCTCAAGAACACTTGGGGAAATGAGTGGATGGGTAAAGCTAGGATGCCCTTGAAGGTCCTTCAGAGTCTAACATTCGAGGGGCCCAGCCTCACCACCCACCCGTCCCCAACTAAAGGTTTCCCTCCATCCCCTCTGACAAATTGGACACAGACAGACGTGGGCATCGCGACTCCTTCCTTGGTGCCCTCAACTAGGCAAGCTCTCTCCACACTTCTCGCCGGCGCCTCTCGGCGCACGGTAAGCTCTTTTATCCAGAGAGGTTGGACTTTGTCCCTCCTGCTAGACTATGGACTCCTTGGAGCGGGGTCTGGGACTCACATGACTTTGAATGCCCCTCGGAGAGGAAACACCTCTGACCCACACAGCAGGTTGATACGAACAGCATGTATTTTCGGAATCTGAATACAGACAGGAGGCTGTTCTTTCATTTGATAGCGATTTCCATGTTAGCAGTAGCCTAGACGGACACATCTCTGCTACACACAGTCTACATATGCACCAACTGGCTTCATAAAGTGACCCAAGCATTCCAGACCAAAAGTAGACACACAGACCCTCCGTATCTGTAGGGATATGTTCCAGCACCCCCAGGGGATGTCCGAAACCACAGCACAGCTTTTGGGAAGCCTTCCAGTAACAGGTGGTCCCGTCACTGAGCAGATCTGGGCACTTCCACACTACTCCAGTGTGGAGCCGGGGGCAGGCGCACTCCCATCAGGATGCCCCCCAGGTACCTGCCCTCCTCGATGCCTGGGAAGCACCAGGCTACGTTCTCCTATCCCCTAGCCCAGCATCCTCCTCACTTGAGGAGATGAGGACACAGCCTCCACTTCCAGATCTCTCATTAAGGAGAAAATAGAGCACCCCACCCCGCCTCAGGTCCCCGGCTCTGGACTCACCATGTTCATGACGGTCAGGATGAACCTCTGGGCGGCCTCAGCCCCGTGGTACTGCACCATGTCGGCATCGGCCACCACCAGGGTCTCCACCGTGTGCTCGCTGGTGAGTTGGATGGCGTTCCTCCGCTCCCGCCAGTCTTGGGAAGCCCTGCTGCGCTTCGGTTTCTTTTCTAGAAAACAATGAGATATTTGCACGGTCCTTGGCTTACTGACTTCTAAAAGCATGCAGCCAAAAGGCTTCTGCCGAGCCTGTCCAAGAGACTGGCCAGTCTCAACAGGCCTAAGGGCGCCAGCACCCCACGATCTCCACCATCGTGTGGATGCCGAGTTCGCTCACGCGGGGCGGAGCTGACCCAACAGACGGGCAAGAGCTATGAGGCCAGATGGGGGGGGCCACACCCAACACCCTCCACAGCCGGGGAGGCCAATGGGGTCGAGGGGCCAGAAGAGAAAACCCACCCCACTTCAGAGGAGCATGGAGAGCCACGCAAGCATGTAAAGGAAAGGAGGCGTGGACCCAGTGGGCAAGGGTCTGAAAGGCCACAGCCAGGGAGGATAACTGGACCAAGGAAGCTGGGCAGAGGAGACAGGGCTCCCCTGGGGGCCGGCATCCCAGTAACTCTTCTCAGACTCAGGAACAAGGAGCCATAAATGTTGGCAGGCATAAACACACTATGCTTTCTTAAAAAAACACACAATCAGAAGGAAATCTTAGTAGCATTAGTAGTGGTAGTTGATTTTTCCAGCCTACTAGAGTAGTAGCAGGGTTATCGGTAGGTTTAGTAGTAAATGTGTAATTCTCCATTGAGTCTTTAGATAGCCTATATCCCTGTAAAATGTTACTTTGATAAACAGCTCTTGTTATTAAAAAGCTCACACCTACAGGTCCAAAGCTGCCATAGTCTTTGTACATGGAAACACCGCTGACTGACACAAGAGGTTGATATGAACAGCATGCATTTTCAGAATCTGAATGTAAACAGGAAGGCTGTTCTTTCATTTGATAGCGATTGATTCTATGTTAGCAGTAGCCTCTATGGACACATCTCTGCTACACGCAGGCTACATATGCACCAATCGGCTTCATAAAGTGACCCAAGCATTCCAGGACCTACAGTGGATACAGCAGACCATCCGTATCTGTAGGGGATATGTTCCAACACCCCCAGGGAATGCCTGAAACCGCAGACACTACCGAGCCCTACATCTCCTGTGCCGTGTCATGTCCTCTGCATACGTAAATGTGGTGCTGCGTCACGTATAAGTTAGGCATAGTAAGAAATTAACAACAGTAACTAATAGAATTGTAACAACACACTGTAGTAAATGTTATCTGAATGAGTCTCGCTCTCAAAGTATCTTATTGTACTGTACTCACCAATTTTTGATCCCTGGTTGACCACAAGTAAATGAAACTATGGAAAGTAAAACCACGGATAAGAGGTCCCTACTGGATTATTAAATAATCTGAGATGTGGGTCATAATTTACAAACAAAAATGGTGGTACATGCCTATAATCCCAGCCACTCAGGAGGCTGAGGCAAGGACAACTGCTTGAACCCGGGCGGCAGAGGTTGCAGTGAGCCGAGATCACGCCACTGCACTCCAGCCTGGGCGACAGAGCAAGACTCTGTATGAAAAAATAAAAAGTCCTGTACTGGGTATGTGTATTTCAAGTTTACAAACAAAAACTAAGAAGACCTGTACCCCCCTCCCAATTAGGCCTTGCAGAACTAACCTAAAAGGGTGCTGTAAAGAATGACACACTGTGAGCTGACACATGCCCAGAATACTACGTAACAGGTAAACCCCACGGTCAGGGGCGCTGTGGCTTACACAGGCTTCCACTAATGACTGTCATTTGCTCCTTTCCTTTCCTCCATTCCCTAGCACACAGGTGGTGGGAAATAATTGCTCACTTAACAAATGCATGCAGTGGGTAAAGGAGTGAATAATGATACTCGCTCAATAGCCTCATGTCAGTGCAGGGCAGGACTTTCGACAAAACGAGTGTGGAAACCCCTGGATTTTGCAACTGCAGACCAGAGACCGTGGACTTGCATTCCCTTCCAATGCAGGCGTCCTTCCTGGGGTGCTGGCAAGTGAGAATGGCAGGATTGGGGGGCGGGGGGGTGGGAGGTTAGGGGGCAACTTAGCCTTCTCCTCCCTCCCTGATCTCAACAACTCCCCCAGCAGAGACCCACAGCCATTATTTTTGACGATCATTCCTTTTCCTACAGGGAGAAAAGAACCCTAATAAACTTCTACCTTTAATTCCCTACACTGCAAAAATATGCTTGATAATGTTGCACGGATGCCAATATTCACAGATGATAGCATCTTCAAAAAGAAGAAGAAAAACACTAATTTCAGAACAACACACGTGCTGGATTCTGACCTCACCAGAGAGGTTGAAGTGCAGGTGGGCGGGCGTGTGGCCAGCCGGGGAGCGCTCCAAGCTCTGCGCGTGACCAGCTGTCTCCAGCTGCTGTGGGAATGGAGGGTGGCTCTCGATGTCCTGCTGATGAGGACATCGCAGCCATGTCAGGCCTCAGGCCTTCTCCTGTTGTCACAGACACCAGGGAACATTCTTGAAGTCAAGCCCAGCAGTTTCTTTCGCCAGTACTTTGCTGGAGTTGGTACTGACTTGGAAGATTTTCAATCTCTGGCTTCATATTGTTTTTCTTACATCTACTTTCCCTTTGCCTCGGTTATCCATTAGAAAAGAAAATTTTATGTATTTATGTAAGATACCTCAAATCCTTCTGGAACAAGATGAGGAAGAGAAAAAGACAGAAACATACTTTTAGAATCTTCAAATTATAACTTACTCTGAAAGTCTGGAATCTGCGGAAAGTGTTGAGCAAATATATAAACCGTCATCGTAGTTAACTCATCTACTTTGAAAACTAAAAAACCAAATATCTCAACTGCAGATTATCAAAGCTCTGTATGGGACAGATACTCCTTTAGTTTAGAAAGGATACAGTATCCAGGTATATATTAGGGAAAAAACAATACGTTGATAAAAAAATATTTGGCATGAAAATTCAAAACCACAACCCCTCTCGGAATTCCTTTACTTCTGCTGCACAAGAATCCTTGCATCTTGAATTCTACCAATGCCATTTCCAAGGAAGGGGTGAGCTAAATAGGCAAGGAGCAGCCTGCTCTTGCCACAGACCTCTGAAATCCTAGCTGCAGGAGACCCCGCCACCTGCACGTATGCGTGAGCTGGCAGGGAGAGCTGCTGAGAGGTGACAGGGGCAGGACTCCAGCCGGTGTGGAGCCCAGCGGGTTTGGTGTGGGAACATGCACAGTGGAGCACGGCCAGGGATGCCCATCCCCCAAGTCCCACCAAGATCTTCTAGGTGGCTTTAGCCCTTGGGAGACTGCTGGGCCTGCACAGAGCCGGGTGGTCTTGCCCACAGGATGAGGACAGTCTGATCTGAGCGCCACCCACCATGTGCCAGCATCTCCTAGGCCCCAGCATGGTCACACCAGCTTCCAGCACAGCCTTTGATGCCCAAACAGGGTGCTTCCGGGGGGGGGAGGGGGGGCAATCATAGCTCCTCCAAGGGCAGACTGCAGCTAACCTGTGGAGAGCTCCAGCAGACCAGCAGCCTCCCCCACCACATTGTCAGCACTTGCCCACCCACGGATCCCTCTCACTGCCTAGCTGGCACACGCGTATCGGCAGACTTCACCTCCCTTCCCCACAAAACACCAATGTGCATGTGCACCCTGCTGCCCTAGCGCTGATGGCAGGGCACATCCCACCGCCCTCCCCACCTCCACTGGGACTCCACCGCTGCTGCGGCACAGGCAGCCTGACACACCACCATGGCTGCTGGCACATGTGGGCAAGCGCAGGTCCCACTTCCCCAGCTCCCTCCTATCAAGTGCTGCGGCCAGCACCCCATGTCAGTGTTGGGGCCACCAGACCAGGAACACTTCAGCCCCTCCAGTGCATCAGGTTACTAACTGCAGGGGACCAGAAAACGAAGCTGGGAAATCCCTACCAGCACCCCAGAGTTAAAGCACAGAGCCCACGGGTGCTGAGCAGAGCCTTGGCCCTCTGAAATCTTCTAGAATAGAACCAGTCAAAAGAGCTCAACTTATACCACAATCAAATGCCCAAGGGCATCAAAAAAACCTATCCAAACTTCAAAGACTAAAGGAACATCAGCCCATGTAGATGAGCAAAATACAGTGTAAAAACTCTGGCAACTCAAAAAGCCAGAGTGTCTCATCTCCAAATGACCACACTAGTTGGTTCTTAACGGTTCTTAACCAGGCTGAAATCACAGACACAGAATTCAGAATATGGATAAGAACAAAGATCATTGGGATTCAGGAGAAAGTTGAAACCCAATCTAAGGAATACAAAATGATACAGGAGCTAAAAGATGAAACAGCCATTATAAGAAAGATCTGACGGGGCTGAAAAACTCACTGTAAGAATGAAATGTCTTTTACCAAGGTGGAAAGCAGAGTGCGTAAGTCCTCCTCCTTGGGAGAGAGACCAACTGCTGCCACAACTGGGCTTTCTGTGTCTCAGCCTCTGCCCCTCTGTCCTCTGCCCCCAACCACGCCAGTGGCTTTCCAGGACAACAAAGTCACCACTGCTGCAGGATGAAAAAAGTAAGACATGTGGACTCTCCTGCATGCCCAACTGTCTTGTGTCATTGACCTTCTTAAAATAAAAAGCATAGAGTATAATAAAAGTATCTTCAGGCTGGTGATCGGGAGCCCTAGATATTCACCCAGGCCTCAACTGGGTGCCCTTGAAGGTTTTACTCAACAGAAAGGTCCCCATTTCCCGTTCTGCCTCTTGTCTCCCAGCCCCACTTCTGCACCCTGCTCTATGGCCCTGGGGCTGGGAGCCTAACTATTAATGTATTTCCCAGACCACCTTGCCAGCTGGCTTCCTGCTGAGCTCTGTCAATAGCGGGCACCAGAGGAGAATGAAAGGCAGGAGGTAGGGAAATAGGGCTCCTTGTGTTTTCAGCTCAGTAGGGGCCACCATACTGGACAACTATGGTTCCAGCCTCCAACTCTTGGGGTAATAAAGGACCCAGCCTCCCCATGCTCCCTCAGAGGTACAACCATCGGGCACCAACTTGGGTATACTCCCCTCCATGCTCTGTCCCCTCAGAGGTCTAAGCC